GTTCCTTTTGTCAAAGTGCACTCAGACTGATTGAATTACTTTAGAATTTTGCTTTGATGGAATAAACTTATTTTTCTTTTATCTTTTTCCACTGTTAGTTTCACTCTAATATATATGTCAAACGTTAGGCCTATCATATTTACGTTACTTAACTTCACACCAACTATATCCTCTTTGCTTTTATCTGTATAATACTGCCTGTCTGCTGCTTCCCTCTCGTCTCACGCTATTTATATCTTTATTACATTGTCGTCTGGCCACTTTCTATATTTTCGACACCAATTAGTTATTAACAAAACTTTCTACAATCGTCTGCTTTAACTCTTATTATAACAAAACTTTAAAATAATAAAATATTCGCTCACAAATATAAATTAATCACTGATATTTAAGCAAAGAAAAAACATGTCTTTCTGCAGAGACGTAATAAAACGAATAACACCTTCTTTCTCCTTTTATGAATGCCTATTTTTTTTCAGTTATCTTCACTGTGTAAACTGCTTTCTTCTTCAAATTTCAATTTTATAGTTTTATTGTTTGTACAGGAGTAGTTTTCCTTAACGAAAAGCAGTAAATCACAGTGGGAGCCCATTAGTTGTTTCACTTAAACAGCACATGATCTCTGTATAAACGGGAGCCTAATTTTTTCTCGTAAATTTGAGTTTCCAAAGAATTCATGTAACTTTCAAATGTGTATTTTAGAATGCAAAAAACAACAACAACAAACATCTGTTACCAGAATAGAAAGTCCCAAAACTATTATAATTCACCTGGCTTTCTAAGTAAGCTCTAAATAGGTTAAAGTATTCCTTTACACGTCCAAGCAGGATTATAGAGTTAGCACACGAAGAAACTATGGCATATTGTTAGTCTACGACTGCCCAAATTAAATAGTTCTAATGTTTTTGTGTTTCCATTGGTTATAAATATAGAAACTCATGACTGAAGCTATAAATTTTTGAATATTGAGAAATCGGGCTCAGACGCATCACGTGACACAGAAAAATTCAGATCGAAAATTTGTTAAACATTTAATTTTTGAAAATAAATTAAAGCTCAGATTTGTTTGTTCTTAATTAAGCACAAAGTAACACAGTGGGTTATCTGTGCTATGCCCATCACGGGTATCGAAACCCAGACATACCGCTGAGCCACTGTGGGGGGATAAAACTCAGGTAATATATAAATTTGAATTATAAACTCCCATTTCATGACAAGTGCATTGGCATACATTGATAGTTAAGTGGTCTATGTACACCAGTAGACAACATTAAACAGTATGAATTTGAATCATTCTCAAAAAATGTAAACAATGAACATGAGACTGAAGAGACCTTTGATCTGTCTGAGGAAGAATCAAAAGAAAACGCTTCCCCTGCAGATCCAAACTCAAACATGGGATGATAAGAGGAATGATTTGCAGAGGTGCAATTAAATAAACTTTTCTAATCATCCTTTTGATAAACATATATCAATATACTATAATTTACAAACTTATACATCAATATGCACGACAGAAATTAAATATTAAAGCATTTTAAAGACGTAAACAGTTATCATATAATATATATATATACAGTGCCCTGCAAAGTTTTTACATTTTGTTTCCGTCTGAGCTGGCAATAATGAAACTTTCAAATGGGACTTTATAATTAGAATCTACACAATCTACCTCAAACTGAGAAAGCTAAAGAAACGCTGATATTATGAAAGTAAGTTAGATAAGAAAAAAAGAATATTTTCAATTGCTTAAGTATTCAATCCCTTTGCTGCTACGGCAACCCCAAATCAATTCAGGTGGAAACAAATTAGTTTGAAAGGTCATTATTGTAATGGTCTCTGTCTGTGTGTAATGAAAGTGATTTAATTTAATTTTAGCGTAAATGCATCTGTTCAAGCCACAACTCGCATAGTGATACAATAAACCAACCATGAAGACCAAGGAACTTTCAAACAAGTCAGGGATAAGGTGATAGAGAAGCACATATCAGGAGAAGGTTACAAATTATGAAAGTGATTTAATTTGACTTTAGAGTAAATGCATCTGTTCAAGCCACAACTCACATAGTGATACAATAAACCAACCATGAAGACCAAGGAGCTTTCCAAATAAGTCAGGGATATGGTTATAGAGAAGCACATTTCAGGAGAAGGTTACAAATAATTTCAAAGTCGCTGATTATCCCTTTGAGTACGGTGAAGTCCATCATTAAGAAGTGGAATGTGCTTCATACCACCC